TGGTCCATATGAGCTGAGTATTTGGAATCTGCTGATAGTAGGTCTTAGTGGTCATTTTATATTTAAAAAAAAATAGAATTATCATTCCATCTTTACTGTGAAAGGGTTAATGCCACTTAAGTTCTTCCTGTATAACAAATTAAACTATTCCATGCTGAAGTTGCAAGGAAAAGCTGCACAGTTCAAAGGAATATTGGCAGGGAGTCTTTCCAGCTCAGTGATTTTTGATGTACTCAGCTTAAAAACCTTTCTCACAGCATGCCCAGAAACATTTCTCAGATATTGAGCAGTGTGATAACGTGGTAGGTTGGCTCGAACATTTAGTAGTGTGAGGAAAAATCTCAGAGCTGATATCTTACAAATGCACTACTATCATTGTGCTTGCGTATTTATGCGTTCTTTGTAGTGAGCCTATGTTCTCCTGAGAGCAGGATGTTCTGAGGACTTCCTCTTCTCTTCCATATCTTTTTGTTCTTTTTTCTGAGCCATTTCTAAAGCACACTACAAATTTCTTGCTAAAACTAATTAACCAAAACTTCTGGTTTTATTTCAGCAGAATTTTTTCGAATGTTTAAAAAAAAAAAAAAAAAAAAGGGAGTTTCAAAGTTACCTTTTTGGGTTGCATTTATTCCTCTTCCTCCCCCCAGATGAAGAATCCCAATCCATGGGAAGGCTGAAAGGGTGACCCAAGCTTCTCTAACAAGCGTGAATGTTTTCCATGAAAACCGTGTGTTGCCCATGTCAAGAATTCTAGCAACTTGATTTTTTTATTTTTTTTTTTTTGTAGATCTGTTTGCCACATCTTTTTTACTAGGTTTTTGGGGGGGCTTTTTAGATGGATATGGCACCATATGGCCACGTTGAAGGTCTTGAATGACATGGACACTTAAGAGCCTTTTGTGCCTGAGTAAATTTTCATTCTTGGGGAGAGGAATGTCAAGAAGAACATTGGCAGACAAGATTCTTTGGGTGAATTTGATATCTTTTATTAGACCAACCCAAATAGTTGGAGAATATTTATTAAGCAAGCTTTAGGGTTCAAAAACCCTTCGTCAGGCTAAGGAAGTTTCAGCAGTTGGTGTGTGCTCTTCCTGGATGGAATGAAAAGTAAAGAAGCCAGGGGCTGGGCTGGGGAG